CCCCCCCTCCGGCCGCCTTTTTTATTTGTGATAAATCATGGATTTCCCTAATTTTGGTAATTTTGAATACAAAACAGTTAGTGCCACCATCTGTGTACGAATGTGCTCAGAGATTTGGGCTTTACTTCGGCGACAGTGCGGCCGAGGTATTCTCTGCGTACTCCACTGCCTTGAGCAATGCTTAACTATTATGGACAAAAAATTTGGATTTAAAACACTAGAAAATGTATTGATCGCTCTAGTGAATAATTGCGCCTGGGTATTAAAGGGAAATTAAGAGATGGGGGAGGGGAGAGGGGAGGGGAGGGATCATTCAATACGCAGTGATAATCGCGGTGATCGTGATCTTCTGACCTCCATAATGAAAATCAATGAAGCGACCAATAGTCGGATGGCCTTCAGTAGTGCTAACATTTCATTGGGTGGATTAAAGTCAAAATTGATTCGCCGATCACAGGGTCCCTCGTCATAATTGGTCGAAATCTATGGCCTCAAGACTTTCAAAAAAGTATAAATGTAGGTGGTTGTGCAATCAAATTTCATCTCTTATTTTGACAAATGCCGTGCGGATACGACTCTTATCGCAAGGATTATTATTTGAAGTTTTTTGCACCCTTTAATCCTGGGAATCTTTCTCTTGTCGACTCTGCAGAATACGATTTCTGTGATACGAGAGATCACTCAAATGGAGTCTTCTGCCGCGACGTGTGCACTAAGTATGAGGAGGACAGCATCTATAAAACTCCGTGGGGCAATTTGTCTTTGATGGGAAAGGAAGTGGAACCTTCCTTTGAAAACCAAAACAAAAATTTGTTAATGCGATATTTTTTGGGCGATGATACCTTCTCTTTAAAGGGCTCCCAACCGGATGTGACACCTTCAAGACATGCACTCTCATTTGAAAATACCCCTACCGCAGGGCCACTACCTTCAGATGAAACAAGTAGTGTATCGTCCTCAGAAACTGACAGTCTCATTTCATCATCAACAACATTATTCTCATCGTCATCATCATTATTCTCATCATCATCATCATTATGCTCATCATCATCAACAATATTACCATCATCATCACCATCACCATCACCATCGGTGGGAGAGTCTGAGGTGGAAGAGGAGGAGGAAGAGGAGGAAGAAGAAGAAGAAATCTCAAGACCCACCGGATTTGAACGATCAAATTACTTCATCAACCATGAGGACGAAAATATGTATGATCGTGACTTCAACTGTTTGACGCATGAGGAGAGAGATAATGACACCTTTATGAGGAAGTTCTTGAGTCACCTGAAGTTCAAAAAAAGGTTGAGAATGCTATCGATCAAGAGGCAAAGAGAATGCTAAAGGCAGCCTAATGTGTATCTCATTGCCGTCCTAGTATTAGTGTATCAATTACTTCAATAAATAGTTCACTTTGTGACCCTCTCTCTTTTGTTTTAAATCGTTGCTTAGATTTTCTGAAGTTATGCGCAAATTATTTAGGCGCTAATTATGGATAGGTTGAGTAATACTGCGGGTGAAAAGTCTGCTGTACTCAGAGAAGAAGATTTTATCAAATGGTAGGCCTTATGTTAGTTGTCATTAGCCCTTTAGCTGACTTCGGGATTCACAGAGGGGAGAAACAGATAAAGCCTCAAAAATTGGGGAGGGGGAACAGTAGAGTGATTTACAAATTTAAAAGAGACAGACAGACAGAAAGGTAGAGAAAAAGGTAAGGTAAGGTGAGTACTGTGAAAGTGGAGGAATATTACTTGCAGTCAGAAGTCAACTGGCGGTTATTGGACTTTTTAGCCGTATGAGTATAGCGAAAGCCGAGTGATAGACTTTTTAGCCGTATGAGTATAGGTTGCCCAGGGTGCACCACGTGGAGGTAAGTCTATCGCACACTCCAATTGGGATATATTAATGCAGCTTGTAAATTGCAACAACCCTGTTGGGGACTAGTTTGAAAAATTTTTCTACGACCTAACAACTCAGTTTATTTAAAAGTGATTGCCCAAAAGGCTAAACGATTAAATTAGAGGAATTGAGTTAAATTTGTTAGATTTGCAAATATTCCGTATCCAAACTAGTGATTCATTGAGATTTTTAGGGCGAAATGGAATTGCTAGGGCAATTGGAAGTATGGTGGGCACATAGGTGGGCCTAGATGTCGTATAAGTGCCATAAATGTGAAACTAGCTTCTATTCCACGTCACACAAAATTGCAGAAAACTTTAGACCACTAAATTAAGGGGACATATGGAAATGCGAATAACGGGGATTATTATTACAGCCAACATTTATATCAAATGGCAGGCGTTTTTGATAGCTATCATTAACCAATTAGTTAACTTTGGGCTTCAAAGAGGGGAAGGAACTTCAAAATAACAAAAAGTGGAGAGGGGGGGACAGAAGAGTGTTTCCAAGATGCAAGAGGCAAACACAAAGGTAGAAAAAAGGTGAGGCGATTACTGTGGAAGTAGTCGAATATGGCATACAGTAGGAGAAGGAATATCAAAGTCACAAAAGTCGAGAGAGGGAACAGAAGAGTGATTTACAGATGTAAAAGCGACTGACAGCCACAATGGTAGAGAAAAAGGTAAGGTGAGTACTGTTGAGGGGGTCGAATATGACATAGAGTGGGGTCATGGCAGTTTGAAGTGAGAAGTCACCTACCGGTTAATAGACCTTTTTGCCGTATGAGAATACGTTGGCCAGGCTGCACCACGTAGAGGTAAAGTTTATCGCGCACTCCTTATTACAGCCAGCATCATATATTTCCAATAAATTTGAATTAGCCCGATCACTTAGTAAGATTTGAATAATTCGTACCGGACGTAGAATAATCGTGAATTCGAATCCCAATAAGTGCAATAATCCTCGAAACTTATCAAGTCGACGACAATAATGGTGATGTTCGAATTCGGCTTTATTCGACATCTCACCAATTTGATTTTTGTAGAAAAACACTTTGATATCTCAGTCTGGGAGTTACTCAATTGGATCGAATAACTTTGATGATACAAATTTATTTATATCAAATGGCAGGCTTTATGTTAGTCATCATTAGTCCCTTAATTGGCTTCGGGCTTCACAGAGGGGAGGAACAAAGTCACCACAGGTGATACTTTTTCATCTTCTACACATAGATCATTAGTTTCTGTCCTCTTTTCAGTCTTGAAATGTCCAAAGAAACAGGAACTCCTGTGTCTGATTATGACACTTGGAGAACACCTCTCAACGACGGAGGCTTTCAAAGCAGTACTTCCTAGCTTTACATGTTTTCTCTACTGCCCCCCCCCGCTCCCCACTCTTGACAGATATCGCTGCGCNGGGGGGGGGGGAAGAGAGTTGTGGAAGAATGGTCTTCCTGCAACCAAAATGGCATGTCTAGCTACCAGTGGTTGGAGGAAAAGCCTCCACAAATTGGCTGAAGTGACAGGACGAATTGATGAACTCTAATTTCGAGCACGTGTTCAAGGTGGAGAAACTCCATTCCCAAATCCACGACCTCACAATATCAAAATGAGATTGCACTGGTCACACATAAGTAAACTCAATCGATTCGGAAGTTAGCCAAAGGGCAGTAAACAGCACTCAATAATTGGGTAGTGTCAACAAGTGAGATGAAACTTGAATTGTATAATATAGAGTTAGCAGTACTTGGTGGTGGTGTTTGAATTGGAAGATTGGAATGATTTCCAATGCAGCTTAGAATAAGAGCATTCGTTTTAACTATGAAATTTACGCTTTCTCATCATCGATACTAATGAGGTGGGGTGTGCGGTAGACCTACCTCCACATGGTGCACCTTGGCCAACGTATACTCATGAGACAAGAATGTCTATCAATCAGTAGTTAATTTCTGACTTCAAACTGCCTTCGCACCACTGTATGTCATATTCGCCCACTTCCACAGTACTCACCTCACCTTTTCTCCCTACCTTTGTGTCTGTCTCTTTTACATCTTTGAAACACTCTTCTGTCTCCCCTCTCGCCTTTTCCACTTTGATGTTCCTCCTCCTCTCTGTGAAGCCTGAAGTCAACTAAAGGGCTAATGGTAACTATCAAAACGCCTGCCATTTGATATAAATAAATATTATTGAGTTAGGTTGGCTAATTATGGGTGCATTTTCGCTCACGAATATCCGACCAAAGAAGAGTGCTGGAGTTCACAGGTCTGTCTTAAGTAGTATCTACTAGAATTATTTATTTGTCATTTTCCCATCATTTAATTTTGCAAAAAAATACAACATTTTTTAGTTTCGCAGGCCACTTTCGTATTAAATATGCGATGTAGTTATAAGTATTTTATACACGATGCTAAAAACAAACAGTTTTATTAAGCTTACACGAAACATGTCCAACAATAAAAACAATTGTGTCAATACTGTCGATTGTTTTGATATTGGCTTGATTCAAAAGCGCAAAAAATCTCTAATTTCTAGCTCAAGATGAAATTGCGGCCACACGACAGTAAATCAGGAATGGGGTAGGCTGAGAACTTAACCTTTAACCTAATTAAACAATTGAAAAATGGAGACTAACCAATCGGTCAACCAGCCCTGAAAATCTCCAACTCAGGAATCCTAGAGGCACTGAAATATACTCATCCGAGCAAAAAATGAAGGACATTTCCACCTTCCAATCAATTTTTATTCAACCAAATTATATGACTGATTTTGTGGGACTTGGTTCAGAAACTTTTCCATGAGTAGGATGTAGGCTATAGATGAGCGAACCTAATCGATAATCGTTCAGCAAAGTGGATAATGAGCAAAGTACTTCCATGCCTGAAAAATACCAAACTCTGATGGAGGGCAAGCGATGGAAAAGCCATCAACCCACACGAGTTCGAAAAATTCGTATCTTCCGGTTCAATTCATGTATTTGATAGTAGCTTTATATGCATCTAGTAAAAAAAACGCTGCTTCTTTGCCTGCCAACTCATAGTTGCTTCTGAATGAGTACAAAAAATGTATTTATGGTATTGACATTTAACAAAAAGGCCCCTATTAAATTTACATCTTTTCAAAAGTCATTTTATGATCACAAGAAGTGCAGGATTTCGAATAGGTATCCGTTGCCTCATCGTAAGCTTCAGGACCGTAGGTATGTTCGTGTGTAGCCGACTTCTTCGTATAAAGACTACTTCGTACTTGAAGTCGAAGCTCTAAAATAGTAAAAAAAAAACAATATTGATACTTGATAATGAAAGCCCATACTAGGTGGATTCAGTAATCAAGGGTTTACATTGGCTAGGACGTAAGAGAAAAATAGTTGACATCTTTTCGCATGAATTAGGATAAGCCTGGGCAACGTATACTCATACGCCAAAAAAGTCTATAAACCGACAGTTGACTTCGAACTAATATGACTCCACTGTGTGTCATATTCAACCACTTTCACAGTACTCACCTTACCCTACTCTCCACCATTGTGTCTGTCTCCTTTAAACCTATGAAGTACTCTTCTGTGCCCCCTCCCCTCTGTAAAGTCCTAAATCAACTAAGGGGCCAATGGTAACTATCATAAATAAAATAAATAAATAATGAGCAGGTGATAGTAGGGAATTCATATACTCTCGACATTAAAACAATTGACAATACTTCAACACCACTGCGTCGAAGTTAGCCACTTTCGTTGGTTGCTCATCGATAAACAAAGAACGCATCTCTTCCAAGTCCCAGTACTTCTTTCCACTACTATTTTAGTCCAACTCAAATCTTGATCATTCAATTTTAGTCTGTCGCATCTAGTCGCTCTCTAAGGTCATTCCTATTGTAAGGGAACTTCTGTAGCGGATTGCTACGCCAGTAAAGCCTGACTAACTCAGAAATCTCTATGGCAGATTCTCCTACATCATCTAGCTAGACTCCCAGAACCAGCTAAGCTATAGCCCAACTATGAAAGGAAACTCATCTAGCTAGACTCCCAGAACCAACTAAGCTATAGCCCACATCTAGCTAGACTCCCAGAACCAGCTAAGCTATACCCCAGCTACAGCTAGACTCCCAGAACCAGCTAAGCTATAGCCCAATAAAGGAAACAGACGTGCAGCACGGAGCACGTTTATTCAGACTAGACTCCCAGAACCAGCTAAGCTATAGCCCAACTATGAAAGGAAACAGACGTGTAGCACGGAGCACGTTTATTCAGTAAGGGTATTGCGGATAAAGTGCACACGCAGGGAGCTTAATCATGATCAGGATGGCGGATTAGGCTAAACAAACAAAGGTTAATGATTGGTCCCACACTTCTACACCTAATTTCTTCAAGCTTTCGAAGTAACTCTACTGCCGGGATAAGAACCACTTTATACATTTGATATAAATTTTAGCAGATCAATTGATAAAATGGATTTGAAAAAGCGTTAAATTTTCTATTAGCGACAGCAGACCAAAAAATAGAAAAATATAGAGGATCAAGAGGGCCTTACCCTTAACTCTCTTTTGAAATCCGCGTTCCTTAGCTTTCTCACGCTTGACGGCTCGGTTTGACCTCTCCGCCTCTACATTTTCTTCACTTCCCCAGACTTCCAATGATCGGGCAGCAACCTAAAGTGGCAGGCGCTAGAAAACAAATCAAGCTTCACGCCTTTTAATAAAAGCCGTTTTACAAACCTGGGCTTCAAGGAAAAGTTGCATATCGCCCCAAGTTGAATTTCGTGGATTTTTCTTATATATTCGCCTAAGAGGTGGTTCACGTACATCTAAATCAACATCAGAGAGTAAATATCGATCTTTCGCTGACGTTCGGGTGATTAGACTATGAATCCCTTTGTAGTCCCTATAATAATTTATGTAAATTATAAGTTACTGATATGGAAATTAGTAGCAGTAATTTTAAGGAAAATCGTACCGACAGCCATCACAGACTTGACAGTCAAAATTGCTAAGAAGGAAGGAATCGTCGAATGCTCGAGAGCATTCATCACAGAGAGGTTTTTCTTCATCCGGTGGACGAGGAACAATTAAGGTCGCTTCTGGAGGATGTTGAGATGAGGGAAGTTGTTCTTTAGATGGGGATTGTTGCGATGGTGGTAGTAACTTTCTTCGACGTTTTTTGCGACGCTTTAGGTCAGCTAATTCCTCATCAGATGGGTCAGTTTCCTCCTCGGATTTTTCAAAGTGTATCACTCCTTGACTCTGGGACAGAGGAGGAGGATCAATAAAGAACCCACCTCCCGTATCAAGGGGTTTAGAATGATGAACCGGGGCTCCCTTTATAACAATATTGGCCCTTATAAGGGAGAAATGAGCCGATAAGATGGAAATTGATCATCTCTTGTAAATAATGTAATAAACTCACGGGCTATCAAGAACTAATCGAGAAGTTAAGAGATCCAAAGCTTTCTTTCGATTATTTTCTACCCTTTCCAGTTCCTCAGCTGTCCGTTGTTTACTTCCAGAACTAATGGAAATGTCACCTTCAACCTCCTCTCCTAAGCCACTTCTTTCGTCCTCTCTTCGCATTCTAAAGTCCTATCTAAGAAGTGAACCTTGTCAGAAAGGCGATTTTGTCACTCATTCCAAGACCAAAAGATAGAAGGCAGCATAAAGGTTTATAGTTACATTTATTTACGCAAAACATAAGCAAAAAAAAGTTAAAAATTTGTATATCGAAAGACCTGTTCTGGTTCTCCTTTTTGCTGCTTTTGGAGGTTCTGAATGTAGTTTATTTGACGCTGTGCATCGACCTTTTGACAAGCCAATTCAAGATACCGACGTTCATTGGCTTTGTACGTGTTTACAATGTCGGTAAGTTTCGAAACCTGAGCTTCTAATTCACTTTTTTCATTTAGAAGAGCTGTACTATAAAGCAAACAATCAAATTACACCTACAGAAACCAAAATGGACTTTGGAATAAAATGTATGTCTTACTAATTTGATTGGAGGTCGAATGCCCTTTGAGAAGGTTGAAGGAGGAAAGTGTTTATCCTCTCCTCAAGTTTGTTAGTCTGGGTAGCAAGAACCTTAACTTCACGAGATAAAACGCGACCAAGGGCTTTGATAAGATCTTTCTGCATATTCTCCCTTCGGTGAAATAATGCCTTTTGTGTAGAAACGGCTTCCGAGGTAAGTTCTGATAATTGCGCAACTTGTCGGAAAAGCTTTCCTTGTTGAATTTTAATTGATTGCCTAATTGATTCGGGATCCTCTATTTTCATAAGATCAGCTCCCAAGGAGGCCAATTTTTCATCGATTTTTTCTTCAAATCTGCTCCAGAAGAGATCGATAATATCGGAACTAGGACGATCTCTGGTACTTGATAAAGAGGACCTGCCCATGTGACATTCACTCCACACTTCGCGGTAGATATTTAGGAGCTAATTACGACGACAATTCGATAAAATGAACAGTTTACCTCCTCCTCATTAGGCCCTAGACCACCAAACGCATTGTCATATTCGAGATTCAATAAAACCTCCTGCAGAGTATCGTACTTAATGCTAGCTCGCAGTTTACGACGTATATGATCGTCATCCATTTCAAATCACTCCTCTAGCAGAAGATAATGACAAAGTAAAGCAAAGAAAATTACAACAGCATAACAAAAAAACATGATTAAGGTCATAATAAATTAAGAGTCATTAGAGTATACCCCCAATTTCAGATACAGAGAGGACATATGAAACCCACACAAACAACTAGACTGGCCCGCTAATACAATTTAAAGCAGCCTCTGATATCTTGGCCTAACTTAATGTCACTAAATTGCAACAATGGTACTGGATATCACGCATGGGGGTGAAAAATAATTATTTCAACGGATATTATACTATTTAAATTAGAATTTAAATGATACAATGTAGTGTTTTAAATTTCATAAGCTGTTTTGATCACCCAAACTCGTCATACATGTGATTGATAATGAACTGGAGTTGGTAAAGGAAACATTAATACCCCTTTGAAATAATGCAATTATTCTATGTGCTTGTCAAAGTGACCACTGATACAATTGACTGAAATTCAACCAAAGTGTATAGGACTACTATAATTCACATCTTTATCTAAATTATTCATTGACTTTATTTGGTCAGCCATTGGTTTTCTTGGCAGCCTTTGAGTATTCTGAACCTTTAATGTGCGCTATCTTTAATTAACAAACAAACTTCGACTTTCCATTTATAATTTCTCCTATTTAGGTTTATTTAAATATTATATAAGCGCATTTAAATGATTATAAATTAGCCTAACTAAATAGCGCTAGGCATCTCCCCAAAGAGCTAATAATTGGCCTAAGAGAAAATGAGAAGAATTAAGTGGATTAACTCTAACTGAGAATGGAAAATATAGCGAAGTAAGAAGAGTAATAAAGCAGAATTATGAAGGTATCAGCACCGAGCAGAATTAACAATCAAACAAAATTACCCACTCTTTATTGTAATGTGCAAGGATATGCTTTTGTATAAGCGCGGGAATGAGTTTAGGGTGGTACTATTGACGGTTATACGGGTGTATTAATTGAGATTTTACGTAATTAGATGAAATCTAGGTTAAATAATTTGATCTAATTTCAATAGCCAGCCTTGCAACACATATTTATTCACCAGGAAGGTTTGCCTAAAGATTATGTCTTTTAATATTTTTAATAAATGAACGTTTAAAATGCTTTTTTTAAACTATGGAGATACGAAAGCACCTTTCGGTTTGCTTTTAATCAAAGCGGTATATTTGCATATTCTCATCCTCGTTAGATATTTATAATAATTTCAAAGTTAATTTCTTGACAACGTATGAAGAAATTCTTAAACTAATTGTCAATTTCAGTAATGGATATCCGATGTAAATTAAACTCATAACTGTTATTTTGCTGTTATAGAACCAATAAACGTACGCAAATTATGTGACTCAGGTTTACAATAACGTTCTTAAAGCCAATAATGCTAATGTGGGGAATTAGGTATTGTTCTAAATAAGAAATACTTAATTATTAATCTTTCGAAACCTTGTGGGGGAAGATTTCGTGAATACAATGTTGAAGATGTAAAGCTTTTCAAAATCTATTAAATTACCACAGACTATCTCTCCTAAAACTTCATCAGATATTAAAAAATAAGTAAGTACTGAATTGCTTCTGAATCCGAATTGTTAACAACTAAAGCCAACCAATCTATGGAGTGTCAACACATGCTTTGTTAACAAAGTAATAGTTGAGGTTTATGTAAGTCTGTAGTTGAAGCCTAAAAACACCGAATGTAAGTTCCAAATCCAATGAGTCCAATGAGTGAACTACAATGAGCATTAGAAAAAATATCAAGAGATAATTTTGGGAGAAAATCAAACAATATTCCTCGTCCTTACTGCGCAGATTCATGAATACAGATTACCGAATTGTAAGTACACGATATATATTTCGTTAATTGATTACATAAATTCATACTGTAATTGTCAGCTAGGCATTATGGTTCTTCTCTGGAGCTATGAAAGTAAATCTCAAACGTTTTTAGTAATAAACATAGCATGCTGAAAAAACTCGAAAAATTTGCAAGTTTTTATAAACACGCTGGATTTTGAATGGATTCTAAAGCATTTTTTTTAGGTTTAAAAAAATCTCAGCCCGGTTAGACATGGTTTTATTTAAGCGGAGAACTTAAAGATGTGAAAACATAATGCAGCATTAAAAATGCATAATATAGTTTAAAAGAATAAATGAAAAATCTAAAGCTCGTGAATTTATAACTAGAATATATTATTATCACTAAAAAACTAAGTCAATGCCTGATAAATTATATCTTTAAGTGTAGCAGCTTATGATTAAAATTACTTAAATTAATGTATTTTAAAAAGCTTGGATTTTCAATTTAAAAAATAATAATCAATTATTATCTTCAAGTTATAATAGGAAATAAGTTTAGATATCAGTTAATTTTAAAATTAAACAAACTTTGTCAAGAGTATTCGCCATTACTGTTTTGTTTGTTATAATAATCAAAAATCTGGCCAAAGCGGCACCAATTCGAAAAGTTTTCTCTTTGCCATCGTGTTGGATTTATTCCGCGTTAGTTTGGAAACATTATCTTGTTTTTGTTGATATCTTATGTGATTTTGCTATATTAAACTTATTACATTTCTGATGAAATTATCTTTGTTATGTTCTTTCCATTTTTTACAATGAATATGTTAATTTCAGGTGTGGGGGGAATTTTTTCTGCTATAGAAGTAATAATAATGTGAATTTTTCCCGCTGACTATTTAATTATTTTAGTCAAAATGTTCATTAGTTTGCATTAATATATCTGGAATTTTTTCCCTATTTTGTGAAATTTGTAATTTAATTAGATTATTATTTCTTCTTTAAACTATTTTGCTTTGAAAAATCTGTTGAATAACGTATAAATACTGCATTTATTAGCTTTTCCCATGTTCATATTTTCTTATCAGTTTATGAATGCGTTTCCGCGGTCATATATCATAACAGGCAATATTCGGGGAGTATTTCTTGTTCGGATTTAGTTAACTTGGGAACAATTAATTTCTCGCTACATGGGTTACATTCGCTGGGGGAATAATTCCTTGCTTTTATGTGCATTTTGCAGTATGTCAAACAAGATGCCAGAAGAAGGTATTTATTTCGGGTATTCCTCCGTCTTCATTGAAAGTATTTCATATGCTCACTGCAGCCAAATTCTTTGATTTTATCATTGTGCCAAAAGCATAACTCCTTTTCTTAACTGCTATCTAATGCATGAACTGTTCTTATGGTGAAAGATAAATAGTACATTTCTATTGATTATTGCGTATTTGGAGTATCTACTTGTTGGTTTTATTTGTTTTGTAATTCCAGCCCTTAGATCTTTATTCGCCACCCAACAATGAGTGAGTTAGACCAACTTCGGCAAGAAAGTGAACAACTCAAGAATCAAATTAGAGTATGATTTTCCTTGCCCTTATTGAAAGGCTTTTATTGTGCTTCTGACCTTAAAGTTGTTTTGTGCTTTTTTGCTCTAACAGGAAGCAAGAAAAGTAGCAGCTGACACAACCCTAGCACAAGCCGCTGCAAATGTCGATCCAGTTGGACGCATTCAAATGCGAACTCGTCGCACTCTCAGAGGCCATCTGGCTAAAATTTACGCCATGCATTGGGCCACCGACTCACGTAATCTCGTTTCAGCTTCACAAGATGGCAAATTGATCGTTTGGGACGGTTATACAACTAACAAAGTAAGTCCTTTCTCACATTCTTGACTGCTTACGCTTAATTTGCTATCTTTTATGCTAATTTGCCTCTTAGCTCATCTTGAAATGACAGGTAATTACTTCAAATGTTCCGTCATTTTTTTTAATGTTTGTTAATTGTGCCTGGATGAAGGATTTGCTGTCCTAAATTTGGATTTTTACCATCACCAGGTACATGCCATTCCCTTACGAAGTAGCTGGGTCATGACCTGTGCGTACGCTCCCTCTGGGAGTTATGTTGCTTGTGGTGGATTGGACAACATTTGCTCCATTTATTGTCTCAAAACACGAGAAGGGAATGTTCGAGTGAGCCGTGAATTACCCGGACACACTGGCTACCTCTCCTGTTGTCGATTTTTGGATGATAATCAAATCATCACTAGCTCTGGTGATGTTACCTGGTAAGCTTACTTTTTCTCCTTTTTACCCGTCTTGTCTCTTATGCTCTAATCTAGTTTCTAATGTTACTTTTGTTTATTAGCGCTCTTTGGGATATAGAGACCGGGCAGCAGGTTTGCGGTTTCACCGGCCACACTGGCGATGTCATGAGTCTCAGTCTCTCGCCGGACATGCGTACTTTCGTTTCGGGTGCTTGTGATGCTTCCGCTAAGGTCAGTTTTAGTCAGTATTAAATTCGCAAAAATGGTTTTTAATAATGCTGCAGATTTGAACATTATTAAACCCCCAGAATTTTCATGCCCTTTGCTGGCTTTGCACGGCCTGTGTCCAACTACGCGCACGGTCGCACTTGCGCGCGTGTCGTTTATCGATTGGACGCGCGATTGTAGAAAGGTAGGATAACGTGCTGGTGCGTAGATGCACCTCCACTGGCAGATGGCATTGGTCCATTCTAGAGGGGAAATAGCACGCGCGAAGGCGTGCGCCCGCTAATGCTGCGCTAGAGTCGTATGTCTGCCGCCACTGTAACTGCTGCTGATGATGCTGATCTTTCTTCTCTTCAGCAATAAGGGAGCGAGAGGAGGGAGAGAGAGAGAGAGGCGGTAATAATCACAGCTACAGCAATAGAGTAATGGTCAAGGGTTTCCAGGGCCACAGGTTGGCGTTTAGTCAGACACGAGCTTTTGTTGGCCTGTCTCGACCTGGACTGAGGGTGGGCGGGGGGGGGGGGTATTGTGCTTTTTTCACGCATATTTGGCTGCCGTTGATCTTTTATTTGGAAATGCAGATAAATTGCTCTCACTTCTCTTCTCTTCCGATGCAGATCATGCTAAAAATACTTTTGTGTTGTTGAGATTATTTAATCCTTCGTTTTTTCATTCCGGAATTGGTCTGGTTGTACAACGTTAGCTAGGCAAAGTGATTCGATCAGTTCTTTTTAATTTAGAGGCAAATACTTTCAGAGAACATAAACCTTTGAGGCTTACATTTGGGGGAATGGTGATGCGTGAGCATACACATCTGAAATGTGTAGAAAATTTGTCCTCTTGCTATTTCGAAATCGATTTCTCTACCCATGGAAAAAGATTATACGTTAAATCGTTTATCTTAACATTTTAAAATGGTTTACTACACCGTTTTTATTATTATGCGTAAGATGAGCCCAAATTTGATCATATTTCCGCGTTTGTTTAGATTTTCTTATTTTCTGGTAGTTAAATGTTCATTTCTCTTCGCTGCTTTTGCAATCAATTACTCTTGATTAGTTTGCTACCGTAAATGCACATTCATGACATCTCAATGAATTCTGGTGCTATGCTATTGTCAGTATCGGTTTTGAGTAGCTTTTTTGCTTCCACGACGCAAGTTTCTATTGAAATGGACGGATCATGTTCTAGTTTCATTTTTCCCATTAAAACTATAGCACATTTTATTAAATCCTTTTGGCCTCCACTATGACCTTCAATCTTGCCCTTGATGACCTTTCCTTCAACTAACTACGCTGACAGATTTATTTCAAATTCGAATTTCTCATACGCAACCTACCCTACAGGAGACTTTTGCAGAATGCGTGGCCTCCAGTTCTATATTTGGCGTTTTTGATGTGACCTTTTAGCATCTTTTCAGAAGTAGCATCTCCAAGTCTTCTATATAGCAGAATCAGACTGTCTATCTATCCACATTTTGGAGTACCGTAGTTCCGCTTACGACACCCTTTAAAAATGTTTTTATCTAAAAAGGGAGAGGGAACATTTCAGTTATTGTTATAGAATCGTCCAGTTTTCCCTGTTTGTGCTGGCCATATTAGGGTATGCAAAAATTCTCCTATCATGAGCACATAAGTGCCTATTTGTCCTGGGTGATTAGAATTTTTTCTCAGAAATTTTGATGTAATCTCTGAAAAATTCTTTTGCAAGTTGGTGAATCTAGAAGCCAAATAATGTATGCCGGCTGCTTCTATAGTGTCTTATCAAGTATAAAGGCGACTCTCAGTGTTCATTCGAGTGGTAATCGAGCTTCCTACAAAGTTAAATTGATAGTAGATGCTTTAGGTCCGCTTGATTACCCGGAGGTAGAATGTAAGGGACAGATCAAATGAAATTTAGTTCTTAAAGGGATTCGCCTTGAGGTTACGTGTATTATTTTAAGAAAAGGAAGATTGTTTCAAGAAAATATGATTCATACTGTCTCTTATGCAGATATTGGACAAATTTTGCTTAACTATAATTCTGTCTTTGACTGTTTGCTTTCATCGCACATGATCGTCTTGACTCTAGAAACCTCTCCAGACTCATTATTGATTGTTCATATTTAACTTATTGTAGTTGTGGGACATACGGGATGGTCAATGCAAGCAGACATTCCCGGGTCATGAGTCAGACATCAACGCCATCACCTTCTTCCCCTCTGGCTTCGCCTTCGGCACAGGATCGGACGACGCTACCTGTCGTCTCTTCGATATACGTGCCGACCAGGAGGTGGGTATGTTTTCACACGATAATATCATCTGCGGCATCACGAGTGTCGCTTTCAGTAAGTCTGGACGCCTCCTTCTGGGTGGATATGACGACTTCAATTGCAATGTCTGGGACACTCTCAAACAGGATCGGGCTGGTATGTCGTCTCCCACTTCTGTCTTAAATGGCTTCCTATTGCACTCTTTTGAAAATGTTTTTTTTCGTGCTAAGAAGATTGCGCATTCTGTGTTCCTAGATTTGGCGATTTGTAGTGTTCTATCATTTAGTGGGCATGGAAGCTCCAGCATTCTCAAATGTTTATAGTTGGAGCTTACGTCAAGAGCTCAGCTTAGGTGGTTAATTGTTCGGGATTCATTGATTTTGGCCATTTCTAGTTTCAAAAGTGATTATATCAAAGTCTGTAGCTTTGTTTCCGTCTAGGTGACAATTGACGCACCTCTAGTTAGTGGATGACTACACACAAAAGTTAGTAACTTAAATAACGTTAGACATTTTTCATCGGACATGTGTCAAATAGAGCTCTTGCACATTGACTGTAGTCTTTGGTAAGTTTGATTCGCTAATTTGCATGGTCTTGCATCCAAGCTGGTTAAATGTGACCACATATTGTGGTCGTCTATTAGATCACGTCTCCTTTTCTTCAATTAGCCTTTCAACAATTTGTCCTCGTGGTAGATTCTACAGTTGCAGGTTTTCTACTCTTTTGTATTTACCTTTATTTACCTGGTTTATTCGATATTCCTACTTTTTCAGGCATATCCATTATCTGAGTTATTTTTCCAATTCAGCTAATAGGAAAGAAATATTTACTAAACTGCTCTTACTGGTTTCAGCCAGCTAAATCTTTATATCGTCGACAGTAAATGATCAACAAATTGCAAGGCGGTTCGTTTATAATGTTTGTTTTTAAGTTACCTATTTGGCTAATAAAATTGACTACTTTGGAGAAAAATGAATTAATTTTACTGTAATGCATTAAAATTGGTTAATAAGAATTTTAGAAATATTAGCTTTTCTGATATGTTTGCTCTCAATGGAAAGGTGAATATACTTCTTGTTTCAGTTGTAGTTGATCCTGCGCTTTTGAGGTTAAGAGGTATCATGATAGTCGGATTAATTACTTGCCTCTGTATTTCTGGATTCTACCTAATTGGGCGGTCTGATAGTGAATGCAGAATGAATTTTCTCCATCGCCCGTCATTTTTTTCCCGAATTTCTGGAATACTCTCACAATCCCTTGTTGTAAGAACTAAGAGGCCTTTTGCATCGACCCTGGTGCTTAACCATTTGCTACTTTGATTTCCATTGCCCTTACAGACTCTTTGCTACAGAAGGTAACATGAGTTTGATGATAGAAGTGTTTTTGGAGAACATCAGTTCAAATAGTTCTTTATGGAGAAAAGCAGGAATGTGTCAGGTAAAAACATCCAATCGGATTGGTGATTTTAACATCTTGGATACCATTTGTGCCTGCTATGTCCTCATAAATTTTGATCTCTCAATTATCGGTTAGTGTGTGCTTATCTACCTCCTATTCCAACTATGCTCATATAGGCTTCGGTAAATTACGATTGTAAGGGGCCTGGCGAGGTTAAGTAATACCTCTTTTCAACTAGTCTTTTAGTATTCTTCCATATCATTTACAACCCCTCTTTCAATGGAGGCGAATGCACTGCAGCCTAATAGAAGGGGATTTCGCAAGCATGTAATAATACTATAATGTTCTAATTTCATTTCGTTCTGTGGAAATTTGTATCTGTGGTCAGATTATGTGTATTACATGATGTGAGTAACAAAAGTTGTTGAGTACGGGTAGAGAGAATAGTGGTTAATTTATTATTTTATTAATTGGTTCCTTAAATGTGCTTGAAAATTATTACTCTTGTTATGGATCTCTTACTTAATCTCTGTGTTTCATATTTAAGTCGGAGAGCAGACATGCTTCATAAGGTGGTATGGTAAGCAGTTAAGGATGGTTATTTTAGCAAGTGTTTATATGAAGTTGGACTTGTGTTTTATTAGCAGTAACTACTAAGTAACAGGCATAATTTCGTTATTGTCTTCAAGAATTTCCTCTTGAATGCACATCTTGAACTTTTAAAAGAGTAATTTTGCGTTATGGCTCATGACAAATTGTTCCTGGTTGCCTGGTCGCATCTTCTAGTTTTTAAAGATACTTTACGATTCCTTCTTGAATGCAGAGTATGGCTGTGTGTGTGCATTATCATGTGTGAATTCGATTTGATATATTTTTTGTGCCAAGGCTTCATTATGTTTCACCTTTCCATTCGTCGGTTTTGACGCATCATTCAATTGATCAACTTGTCATGGCCCACAATTGGCCCTCTCCACAATTTTCTGGGATTTTAGCGCTATCAAGCCGATAATGGAAATTCTGAGATGACTGGAGGGGCCCATCTTAGTTCCTAATTCACCCAAAGGGGCCAGATAATTCCCAAACCAATTTGTCAAAAGTGTTTTCCAGCTCTCGTCTTGGGTAGAAAGTACCATCAAGGGGTCTACTTCGTGAGAGTTCTGAATTATGTCCTCTACTTTATTCCAGATTAGTCAGCGCTGTTGGCCATTCCGGTCACTGGGTGTGCACCGATTCGGGGTTGAATTCGTTGACCTTTGATGTATATCAAGCGTGGGCAGTGGCAAATGTGCCAATAGTGTTTAAATATAAAAGTAAGGAGATTGCTTTGAGGGATTTTATTAATCAATACCGAATCATAAGCGGTGGTGGATGCCGTTATCTGGTACATACCCTAAGTCCTGTGTTTGAGAAATGGTTCGAAATTCCAAACAAAATTGATCTAATCGGAATGACAGAGTATGGGTGGTTTATGCCTTTTGCATTTTTCACATTTTACCACTATAACGATTTGAATAGTTGATTCGGGTTTATTTTGTTTCATTGTTTTGATGTTTAGGTGTTCTCGCGGGTCACGACAATCGTGTCAGTTGCCTGGGCGTTTCAGAAGACGGTATGGCAGTTTGCACGGGATCCTGGGACAGTTTCCTTCGAATTTGGAATTAGACAATTGTTCTATTCTCTCTCTCCTGTTCTTTGTGTCTCTCAAACAGCTACTGCTACGTACTTCTCTCGACTAAAGTCCAATCTACTCTAACCACATACACACACACTACTGATCGCTTTTCTCAATCATTCATTCTCTCGCGTGCGCGCGCTCTCTCTCTTTCTGTCTATTTGTTCTCTTCTCGAGTAAAGCAAATGTGATGATGAATATATACTACTAATAACAAAATCAGCGTGTATCGAGCACGCACTCTCATTGGAAACACCGTTTCTGCATTTCTCTCCTCCATCTTTTTTTCTGTGTATACATGACCTTCTCCTCGGTGCTAAATAACTACTCTCTGTCTCTCCTCTCTCTTTCTCTCTCTTCTACGTGGCACTGAATTTTCCTGCTCTTTGCACTATGAGAAATCAAAGAAAAAGTGTAAATTTTATCACCACAACCAAATGCTTCTACCGCCACAACTGCCATTTCTTGCTGGCTTTGCTCGACGACTACTTTCTTCATTTGTGTTTTATTCTCTCCATCTCGTGTGTCTATGTTCGTTTGTTCTCTCTCTATTACTTTTGTTTCATAATTGCTTAGGTACTACTTCTTCTGGTCGATTGATTTGTGGCTCCACCTCCCTCTCCGCCCCAACTTTTTCCCATGTTACAGAATCGTGTTCTCTCCAACAAGCACAGGCGACCCAAAATCCGTGCCTTTCCAACCACCACCACAATCCCTTTTTCATGTGTGTATGTGTGTGGTAATGCTAATTATGTGTGTGTTTCTCTCTTACTCGAATTCGGTCGCTCGCTCTTTTCTCTTCTACTTCTTGTTGTTGTTTATTTTTTGACAGAAATGGTCTCACACACATAAACACACACACACACACACACACACACAAATCCCTCACACACACACTCTTCAGTGCAATAAGGTTCCCCTCCTATCCCCGAAATCCCTGCCTCGCTGTCTCCTATTCTGGTGATTGTTGTCTTTGTCGTTGATTTTGGGAGAAGAAGAAGAAGGGGGAGGATGAAGGAAAAACAAGGAGCGGACACTTTTCTTTTTCTCTTCATCTGTTACCAGCACACTCCTGCATTTTGCTCTATCTTTCTCTTTTAATCTCTCACTGTAAAATGTCCTGCAGCAAGGAGAACTGCGTTTAGAACCTCTTTCTCTTGGTGAAAATTTAATTCTATTAATAAGCTGTTGACCCAAAAAACAACGAATTACGCGATTTACGATCTTCTGATTCCCCCCCCCCTCCCCCCTCGATCTTGGATTATTATTTGGTTCGGTCAAATTAACTATCTATTAGTAAGTACCTACTGGTATTCCAAACTATAATCACAATCTGATGAAAAACTGTCTCATTAGATTAGATTCACTGTAAATGATCTAACGGTGGTTAGGTCACGTTTCCTATTCGTCTTTCTAGCTACCTCTGGAGTTGAGCCAGGCTCAGCTAATGAGTTCGATATTTCACGCTGATTGGGTTTAAGCCGTGCTTTAGAGTCATGTGGTTGGTTGGGCTGGTAGTGTCTTGCGTTAAAAATGTAATCGGAGCCCTACTATTGAGTTTTTTCGATGCTGATGATATGCAACCTACGCAGTGGGAGAGTTTGAGTGTGCGGCGTGGTGATTTTCGTTTTCACGGGCGCATTTGTGCGTACTCACCACCACTCAAAGGTCTTTTGGGCGGGGCCTATGGTCGGAACACCTTCCAATATGCTACTCTACTGCGGCCCTGTAAGCTAATTGTGTACTATCAGAGTATGGACAAAAACCGTCTCTATCTTAGCATGGGGAAACTTGGATATGTATGCTACGCCTTTCCCATAGCGCGTCACCTTGGTTGACTTGTCGTCATGGTAACAAATGCATGCTGTCAGTGTTATCCCTCTACCTCGTAAATCGTAAAATGAGGTATAGAGGGCTTTGTCACGCACACGTAGAACCGAAACTTCGATTGTTGCTGCATCATTCTGATCAAAGAATCTTAATAGCTCATTAAATCCGATTCTCATTTCTAATTGGTGCAGTTATTCATTGGAGGTTATTCTGTCGATTTGACATGAGGAAATCATTAAATAAAAGGGAGTACTCCATCTTTTTGATTATCCATTTTTCAAGTGCCTAGAGCATTTAAGGTACCTATGCTTTTACCAAAACTAACGTGTGCATTTTAAGGATAACCGTACCCTCACCTCTATAAACATTTGCTTGTGACTAATAGCGAATTGACTAAGAAAAAAATATAAAACCGAAACTTTGCTGGGTTTATTGTTTGACTAATTAGTGATACATTTGTGCGTATGACACCTGATTTTGAATGCTACTGATGGATGAAAATAATAGGGTATTTCAAAGCTCCATTATCCAATTAATTCCTTTGCTTAAGACAAGCCAAATTTTCCAGTTTTAAAGGCACGAGGTTGTTGCAGCTATGCAAATGCCTCTTCGGCAACTCTCTGATGACTTGACTTGCTACTACCGAGCGCGCACGGGCAAGAAAAGCTAAGGAAGGAAAGCCTTGTGGTAGTGCAGTATTTAGCCGAAAGAAATGAGTCACCCCCTGCTATTGGCCAAAATTCATGCGGATATGCCCACTAGCCCATATGTCCACTTACTTGTAATGACGCGTTCTGTGCGAACGTGTAGTATGCGTGTGCATGGTGCGCAAGTAAGTGTTAACACTTCTAATTGGCCAATGTGTGAACAGAAAATACAAACACGGACGCACTTGCACTTGCATGGACGCACTAAAATTATCGAACGCTTTGCCGTAGTGAAAATTCGCGATGCTTCTGTAGGCTATTATGTCAGGAGTAGAGACATTAGAACTGGGAAATGGACGCTTTAACTGAACCGTTTTTAGCCCAGTTTTATTTCTTTTCATTTTGGGTCCATTTTTCCCAAAATTGAGGGAGTAATTTACTTATGCTCTTCAACTCAAACAATATTGTTGAGGCTTATTCTTAAGGGCTTTGTTGCAATGTAACTGAGTTTTCTCGACCGGCACAAAAATTACTTACAGGTTTACTGCGCGATCAAGGCAAAGCTAGAAATAGATGGTTTTGCATTAAGTATTTAATTCCCACTCCCTGTCATTTGGTAAACGGCCGGGTCAGACCTAGCAACCACCGTCATTGGGTTGCTATATTTAGACCACAGGTCCTTTCCTATTGGATAATGCAATCACCACCTGAGCCAATATTTAGTTTCGAATTTTGACAGGATGGAATGGCGCATAATCCGCTTGTTTTAATAAACACACACATATGCACTCAAGTTATTTCACGAGAAGTATTAATTGACGTCAATAAGGAAATTCAGACTATTTGCTCATTAGCGTACATCCTATTATTGATAGGGAATTCGTCTAAAACTAGATTAAACAGCGATAGAGTTTAATAACAGCAGAAGTTAAATGGCTCTGTCATTCAAAATCTGCTGTCTATTTTGCTCACTAATCAAATATTAGAAAGCGTATCATGAACATCTGCTAGGAAGTTCCTAAACCTGGGCACGAGTATTAAATAATATAAGGGTAAATATAAAAGCCTCAATAAAGTATGAAACAGGATAGGAAATTGATAAGGGCACATGGACTTTGCGTGACTTGATAAACGCCCATGACACAATAACATCAAAATTGAAACAAGAAGATTCATGAGACTATTGTTCTTAGATTTAAAATTGTTCAAACTTATGAGGCGATATTTATTAAAATGTAAAGTCAGCTATTACAGTTCTTGCATTCTTATCGTTTCACAACCCCTAGACGCCTAATAGAAAGACACACTGAAAGACAGTGTCATCTTGCGCATATTGAAGCAAATGAAATGACCCTAAACACAAAATCGAAATATTTTGAAATTCCCTCCGAAGATAATCAATAAGTGTTTAAGCCATCGGAAATGACCAACGCACAGTCCCACTAAAATGCAGCTAACCAATCAAAATGAATGAGTGAATGAATGACAAGTGCTGATAATGCTTAAGATACTGGCTGAGGTTAATACTAGAATTGAGGTTATCGCCATGGCAACTGGGGGTTTCCTACCCTCTACCCTAGTTACCTTCTTCAACAATCTTCTCTTCTATCCGTAACTTAGGCCCATGATGGTCGATAAAGCAGATGATCTTGGATGATAGGGTGATAAAATATGCTTACATTCTACTTACTTTACTTTATTTCCTAATTAGAAGTAATCAAGCTGGCTTAACACCAAAGATCTTATTATCTTTCCAAGCATTCACATCCATTTCGGCTTTTCGATCAATTTTATAGATCTTTCCATTTTTGTCGTTCATCAGAGCGTCGTAGATTGTTGAAGGCACAACGCCCAACACAACGGATCTGTTTTTAGACTCGTGAATAGCATTCCTGATCAATCGGATAATATAAGAATCTGAATATTCCAGAACCGACTCTTTGTTCACTTCGATAATGACATCGTTAACTTTCAGTCCCGCTAGTTTAGCGGGGGAATTTTTCTTCACATTAATAATTCTTCGTTGATGTTGTACGAAACCAAGATCAATCCAACTTTTTGAAAGTTCAGGCTTCCGAATGATCCACTTATTAACTACACCAGTTTCCTGTAAAATGTTATCATAAGCTCGTAAAATTATCTTCCGATAAAATGGAGTGGGAATAACCCGAAGAGTAAAATAGCTGTTATTTATAACGTAACTTATACTTTGTCTGTCATCTGCATGAGATGGAGCCCCGAGAGGAATAATTTCAAGAATCTGATCTCCAAAATGAAGATCTGGATCATTTGAAAAGGCATCATATCTGATGAAGCAGACAAAGAATTTCCCCCCTGGAAATTCTTTCAAATGAAGATATTGGAGTGAATTGGGTAAGAAGGTAAGTGAGACATTTCGCCAACTGGGTCTTTGGACATAACCTTCAGGAGTTAAATGACGAATTTCAGATTCAAATAATCTTGCTATTTCATCGACCAAACCCAAGTCTTGACAATATCGGTAAGCATGAGAACCAACATTTAAATTTTTGGGTTTTGGTTGGATGAATTCTCCATCTTTCTGGGCTCTGAATGAATGAGTTTCCGTGAATACTGGACTCCTTGGTCTTTTAATAAATGTTCCTAAAGACATGGCTCCCAGACGTTTATGAATGGGATCGGTGGTTGATCCTGGATTACCTTGTGGAAATGGTGGATAAGGACTTTCGGTAGTTTTAAAAAGTTTCATACATTCTCCAATACTATCTAGTGGAATTGGTAACCCATTTTCGAAATTTTGGAAAGAACCCGACTTGCATTTCTGAAGGCATGTAGAAAGACATGTTTCCTCTTCATTTATTGTTGGCTTTGATTTGTTTCCATGAGATGGGCAAAAACGTAGAAACTCATTGAAATTAGGTCTATCAGGAAAATCTAAGTAACATTTTTGTTCGATTTCCTTCAAATTGCAGCAAAATTGACTCTCTAAACAAGGAGAATTTTCAACAATTTTCTCCGATTTGTCCGGGCATCGGCAATCACACATGGTTTTTCTTGACTACCAGCGTGGATCTTTTTTGAACCATACAAGGCAAAAAATCGATACTCATATTTGACCTTGAAAAATGCATATATTATCCAATAAATGTCGATGATACTTTACTTTACAAATATAGGAAGAGTGCCCATGGACCCAATTATTTATGCCTCTTGAAGGCCAAAAAACCTTTTCGTTACTTTTGGGTAACGTACTAATCAAATAGTGTAAGTAGCGTGTTGAACGTATTAGTGTATTTTTTTCTAAATTCAAAAATGGAAGTAGCGAGACCTACTTATTATGGCTGTGAATTCGCCATTAGTGGTTAATTTTTGCTTTAGTGATTTAATTTAGTTAGAATATATCTTGTGGTTAAGCACATTTGTGTCCTCATTTCACTGGTTCGGGGATGCAAAAGAGATGGACAGACACAAAGGTAGATGAAAGATGAGATGTGTACTGTGGAAGTTGTCGAATATAACATACAGTGGGGTCATGTTAGTTAGAAGTCGGAAATCAACTGCCGGTTTATAGACTTTTTTGCCGAATGAGTATACGTTGCCCAGGGTGCACCACGCACACCCCCCGACTCGAATGTAAAATTGACCAGAAAGCGTGAAGTCTCATCAGAGCGTTTGCGCATAATAGAGTAGAACATTTTATTTGCACGTGCTTTTGGTAGAAATTTATGACTAAGACGTCCATGTAGTTTCATATCTTCCGATGCTTTACAATATTGATTTGGGAAGTCACTTAGTAGTAACAAGGCAGCGATTTTGCTTGGCCAAGACATATACAAAACTTTTAAACAGTTTGGCTCAACCGGAAGGCTAATTCAGTTGGGTTTGAAAAAGTACATATCACATTGCTCTTTCATGATCTGCTTAATATCGTCTTTTCCAAGAGGAAATAATGGGGCAAGATAAGGCATTAATATTACATTTTACTGCTTGCCAGCCATGAACTATTGGTTAAAACTCTCAGGTCAGATCTCCTCAAGGTGCAATAGTTCCGAAATAATATATATATATATATACATATAATTGTAGAATTAAGATCCAGCTAAACTCAGAAATGAGTAGGGTTCACAGAAAATAAGTTCCTATGATGTCCTTTAGTAGTCAAATATAAATAATAATTCATCAAAATGGGAAGTTGAAACTGAATGAATTCAATGTAATGATTGTACAATATCGCCAAAACCTTTGCAAATGTCATAAAAGTCAAGCAGGTTCTAAAAATGACATCATTTAAGTAAATACGTAAGAACGAAACCTAAGAAATACCATTAAACCAAGCCTCGCAGATTATTTAGACAGAAACTGCTTTGTGAATAAAGAAATAAAACTAAATTGCATTAAAATTTAGAGTTTTAAGCTTCATTGGATTTGCGAAAATAAAGCAGTGCCGTTACAACCAAAGTTAAATGTGTTAATTTATGTATTAAAATAAGTCATTTGTCAACACTCACGATTTTTATTGTGATTACTATTAATTTCAGAGTGAAAAATGATTACAATTTCAATTAAACATGAAGAAGATAGATTTAAATGTTGAAAAATGCATTTTAAGTTTTACGTTTCTTTAAAATATGAAGAAACACAGAGTTTACGAGTTGATAATTTATGTATTTAGTATTAGGGCTGTCTCAACTTTTCTGGCATGAGAACGGCACTTAACTACTTCCATAATTTACACTATAAATCCTTAAGTATGATACTCAATGTTCTTTAAAGAAATTAAAGACAAACAAGAACAAACACATGAATTTTATTATACTAACAATGAGTTATATTTATATTTTAAATACGGAGAGGCAAATTATGCTGATGTAATGTTCTAATGGAAAATAATTCTCCCAAGGTCATGTTTTGTTTGAAATCGTTAGTGTTTGCGCGAAGTTTCTAACTCGTACTGGGATAAGCTCCGATCAGCTTATGTCTTTTTCAACTGGTCTTCTGTCTGATTCTGCATAAACGAGAAGTTGAGACAGTTTTTAACCGTTCGTTAAATTGTTTTTATTGTTATTCTTAAATGGAGTTGGAGATTATTCTATTTTACCTTATTTACATTTAACTAATGCACTATAAATAGAAATTCGGTGATCATTTCTCTTTGAGTGTACTACATTTAGTCTACTTTTATGTAAAATATGATCCATATTGAATTTTTAGTGTACATGGTGTTATCTTGTTTGATACTCTTGATGATGAAGTTGTAATTTATTACAAATGGATGACTTTATATATTTTTTCTAATTTCGCAATCTTTTGCATATTTTTAAATAACATCATTTTTCAGTTGTCACTCAAATATATAAGTAAAATCTATTTTCAATTTGTTAATTAGTTATGCTAATTTTATATATTTTTCAATTTACAGAAATGTCCGTTGACGTAGCTAAAGACAAACCACTAGATGACAAACAAGCTCGTCTCACACAGAGTGAGAATGAGGCGTCCATGAATATCTTCAAACCTATTTCAAAATCGTCAGCTTCTACTAATATTATTCAAATAGATGAACCTTCCTTCATTAATTCAAATTGTCCGAATTCCGATAAAACTGGCGGTGATGAAAAAGATGGATATTCAGTTTCTTCTGATGTTTCCAAGATTACGACCGAGATAAGCGATGATCCGGATGCAATCCATGCGGCGATCGAGAAACGCAAGCAGCCTCTTATGGAACTGGCCTACTCAGAAGAGAGTTATGTTAGACGACTACGTATCGTTTATGAGCTCTACATGCCGGCTCCTTATCGCTCGACTCCTCCTGCAGATGCTAGTACCCCTGGCATGTCTTCTGTATCTCCCGCTCTACCCGTAAGCACGTCTGGCTTTGAGGAATTAGCCAGCAAGTTACCCCTTGGAGGGCCTGTAGTCCCCGAAGACTTAGTCGCTCGATGGCGAATTCTATGGGGCAATTGGATGCAACTATTTGAATGGCACACTGGCTTCTACGAGAAACTTAAGGCCCTTCTCGATGAAGATCCTGATCGAATACCCAAACTCTTTATTGATTCTCGAGCTCGATTACGATCAATATATTCAAAGTACTGTGAAAATCAAATCAAAGCAGCACATATTGCTGAACAGCATAAAGAGTTCTTTGATGAGTGGAGAATATTTGTTGGAGATAAAGAAGATGTTGTTTCGCTTCTTATGCAACCGGTGCAACGCATTATGCGGTACCAGCTACCAATATCGGAAATCGTTAAATGGACAGAAAGAGCTAAAATTCCTTCGCTCCCTTTGTGGCAGAAAGCTCTGGATATAATGAAAGAGATTCCAAAGGATACTCAGCTAATTCTAGAGGTGAGTTCAATTTTCACGCTGATTAAGATGAAATAGGAGCGATGATCCTGGCTTTTTTTTACGTGGGGAATAATTTTATCGCTACGTTAGTTGCCTCTCACCCAAGGTAAATGAAGTGAACGGAATCGAAGTTCGACAAAGTTGCATTAGTTAGTATTTGAGAACGCACTTTAAATGCCTTTCTTTACAAGGGCGCTTGGGAAATAAACTTGAAATGTGCCGAATCCTTGGGTGAAAACTTCACTGCCTTTAAATTTACACATTTTAACATCTTTCGCTGATGATATTTCCGATCGTATTTATCTCGTGGCGAACAAATTTATAGAACTTTCCTCTTCATCTTCTCTTGTGCTTTCAAGTTGACATTTTTCAGATTATCGATTTTTAACATATGATATGAGTAATCAAGCTCCCTTTATCATTAGGCTATTAAGCCTAAATTAACGATTGATTTGCATTTAGCATAGTTTATCGATGTTGTATAAACTTCTTTCCTTCTGAAATTAAATTTGATTGAATGTACAGTTAAATGGATTGTGATTTTTCCAATGTAATACTTGTCTTTTTTACAAGCAAAGGTTTCAAGAATGTAGACTCTTGTTTCTTAGTTTTTTTTTGAAACTCTTTCGTAATACCCTTCTTTCAGCTGATTACGAACCCGCTTAAAATTAAATTCTACTCAAGACTCTTCAGGCTATATTAAGACTCATTTGCATAAATACTTTAGTTTAATTCCGTTCAAAAGGTTAATTTTTTTCGATTGAAGGCCGGTTAACTAAATTTAGTACTTTATGCTTTACGAAAAATATCCAAAGTTAATTGCTTTTGCTATTTTTTTTTAAATTTGATTTTCCAGGATGCTTTAAATGAAGCTATTTTATGCTATTTTCCGCTTTCCCATTGATCTATACTTTAAAATTTAAAATTTATTCTGCTTAGTGATATTCTTTCTCTTACCTTTCTTAAAATTTAACTAAATCTCCTTTGTTTTAAAACAATGGAATTGGGATTTGTCACCTCGAAAGGACTTGATAGGGGGGGAGGGAGGGGAAAGAGTGGCCTTGTACACTCTCTTCATCCAATTTAATTATTCTTATGAGGCTGCAGAAATTTCAGATCATCTTTCTTTACTCTTTCCCATTCTCATTATTTGATCTCGCCCAGAAAATGAATATGTTGCTTACAGAATCAGAGGTAGCAGGGTCGATTCCCATTGGTCTGAATTAAATGAACGGATTAATCAATTAATGAGAAAAGCAGCATAATTCGACCTCCTTACCGAATCGGTTCCGTAGTTCTATCCCTCCTCTCCTTCTTAATTGGGCTGGAGGGAGTTCTGTTATTAGCAGAGGGATAGAGAGAGAACAAAGGTTGAAATACAACAGGGTAATAATTAAATTTTTCATTTCCCACCTTTAGAAAGTTATGCTTAGAATATCATAGCATAACCAACAAGTAACTATGTACCCTTGCTCATCCTCTCAAATTTACTCAATTACTAAGAATTGTTGAATTGAGACCTTACTTATTCACACCACCGAGCTGTTTAGTAAGTATTGAATGTCAAAAGCGTTTCCAACACAATTTTTCTTAGTTTATTTGATAATGGCCTCAACCCGACTTGGCACAATTAAATCCTCTATCTACGTTGAGTCATAATTGGCGGGTTATTATCCAATCACGGTTACCCATACATACATATATATATGTTCAGTCCTAGTCCTTTTGGCTTCTCTGTTTATTATCTATATGGGAAAGGTTTTTTTGTTTCAACAAGGTAGATATATCTTTATTCTCATTATTATCGTAAAAGACCACAATAAATAGTGGTAATAAAACCAAATGCTTCACTTTTACTTGTTTTGGCCAGTGGCTAGACTAGGGTGTGGCCGGATACGGCACAAATTGTCGACAAGATCAATAAAGGCAACACGCGTGTCTTCAAAAGCGGGCTTTACCGTTTTTGATGCTCGTTGAGACATCCAGTGAATTGCACGAACACTCGTAGCGACTATAAAGAGGGTTAAGAAGGGACATCTTTAGATGCATATTTCTCATCAAGGGGGCCTCTTGGAGGCTTTTCCTATCCGACCGAGACGGACATCAGGAAACACTACTCTTCCAACTTTGAGGGAATTGCGCCTTCCGGCTGGCGGCATAGTGATCACTGCGTCATTATTATATTAGCGTATGCAATGGTTGCCGAATGCGAGTTTCTCATCGAAGGGGCTTATTCAAATGGATAAATGGCATTAGTTGGATGAACAACTGAAAGCTTTCCGATCAGACGTCCCAATTTGATTTTTATTGAAAAAAAATATTGACATGGTGGGTTAAACGAAAGTAGATCCTGAGCATCTGTCAGCAAATGATCTCCACACTGACAGTCTAAATGCTTCCTTGAAATTGCCTTTTCAGCCTTCCTTCAAAATTGTATGAAGTAGTTAAGTGGAATTATTGCCCGCAAATAGTTATTTATCTATAACAAGTGGCAGGCGTTTTGATAGTTATCATTAGCCCTTTAGTTGACTTCGGGCTTCACAGAGGGGAGGAGGAACATCAAAGTGAGAAGAATTCAGGGGGGGGGGGAATAGAAGGGTGTTTCAAAGATGTAAAAGAAACAGACACAAAGGCTCAGAAAGGGTAAGATGAGTAGTGGTAGGGGTCGAATATGGCATACAGTGGAGTGATGGTAGTTTGAAGTGAGAAGTCAACTGCCGGTTAATAGACCTTTTTGCCGCATGAGTATATGTTGCCCAGGGTGCACCACATGGAGGTAAGTCTATCGCAAACCCCCC